CTCAGGCAGGGCGCTGGTTTCAGCACCCCTTTAGAGCAGATTCTGAGGATGTCTCAGGCGGGGCGCTGGTTCCAGCACCCCTAAGGGGAGCCCGAGGTGTTTTCACGGCCCCTTTCGCGGCCAGTTTGTGGGGATGCCTCAGGCGGTTTGCTCGTTTTCATGCCCAATACCCTTGGCTTTCAGAGCAGATTGTGAGGATGTCTCAGGCGGGGCGCTGGTTTCAGCACCCCTAAAAGGAGCCGCCAGGGGTGTTGGTTCGTTTTCATGCCCAGCATCCTTGGCTTTCAGAGCAGATTTTGAGGATGTCTCAGGCAGGGCGCTGGTTTCAGCACCCATAAAAAGGAGCCGCCAGGGGGTAGGACACGGGCCCGTTCGCGGCCAGTTTGCGGGGATGTCTCATGCGGTTTTGTCGTTTTCATGCCCAACACCCTTGGCTTTCAGAGCAGATTGTGAGGACGTCTCAGGCGGGGCGCTGGTTTCAGCACCCCCAAAGGGGAGCCGACAGGGGTGTTTTCATGGGCCCGTTCGCGGCCAGTTTGCGGGGATGTCTCGGGCGGTTTGCTCGTATTCATGCCCAACATCCTTGGCTTTCAGAGCAGATTTTGAGGATGTCTCAGGCGGGGCGCTGGTTTCAGCACCCCCAAAGGGAGCCGCCAGGGGTGTTGTCACGGGCCCGTTCGCGGCCAGTTTGTGGGGATGTCTCAGGCGGTTTGGCTCGATTTCATGCCCAACATCCTTGGCTTTCAGAGCAGATTTTGAGGATGTTTCAGGCGGGGCGCTGGTTTCAGCATCCCCAAAGGGAGCCGCCAGGGGTGTTTTCACGGGCCCGTTCGCGGCCAGTTTGTGGGGATGTCTCAGGCGGTTTGCTCGTATTCATGCCCAACTTCCTTGGCTTTCAGAGCAGATGGTGAGAATGTCTCAGGCGGGGCGCTGGTTTCAGCACCCCTAAATGGAGCCGCCAGGGGGTACGACACGGGCCCGTTCGCGGCCAGTTTGTGGGGATGTCACTGGCGGTTTGCTCGTTTTCATGCCCAACATCCTTGGCTTTCGGAGCAGATGGTGAGGATGTCTCAGGCGGGGCGCTGGTTTCAGCATTCCTAAGGAGAGCCGCCAGGGGGTAGGACACGGGCCCGTACGCGGCCATTTTGCGGGGATGTCTCAGGCGGTTTGCTTGTTTTCGTGCTGCGAGGAAAGAAATGAGGCGTGCTGCTCCATTGGGTCGTGCTCTGGCACGTACCCTCTGGGACGCACGGAGGTCGTGTTATCATAGTCAGACGCTCATGAGCAGACGCTCGCTATGGCATGACATAAAACATGAGATGCGCATATGGGGAGCTCCACGCAGTGAGTAATTGTTGTATCTCTCGTTTTTTTTGTTCCTCTCCCTCTCTGTCCCCTCTCTCTCCGCTTTCGCCTTGCCTATCTGTCTGTTCAGTCTGCCTGTCTCCCTTTTGCCTAACTGCCTCTCTGTCTGTGTCTGGTGCGTCAGCGTATGTGTGCGTGTCTGTGTGTGTGTGCCCCTGTTGCACGGCTTCTCAATCCGTCATTTGCTCGCTGCAAGTTCGGTGGTGGTGGCGCAGATTCTCTGCGTGTATGCACCGCCGTCAGGTCGGCCGGTCTGGCAGCCTTATAGTTGATCATTTGTTGCTGTCTCCTTGAGGCTCCAGTTCGCACCAGGCTGCTGCTCGCGCTTCAAACTACCCGCATCGAGCTTCTGCTCCTCTCGTCCTTCACCACCAAGTTGCATGGCAGTGAATGGTTCTTTCACCATGGCGCGTTCGACTAAGATCGTTCGCGATTGGCACTTCCGCGCCGCCGATTGTGAAAAAGTGTGTGTGTGTGTGTGTGTGTGTGCGTGCGTCTCGTGGCAGTTTGCTCTCGCTCTCTGTTTCTCGATCCCTGTCTCCTTATAGATAGATCTGTATACATCTGTTCTTGAGCGGTTTGAACTGAGCTATTTGAGCGTAGTGATGTCCCTGTGTGCTTATACCACTTGCTCAGGACCCAAGGATTTAAGCATCGTTCTCCTATCTCTCTCACTCTGCTCTCCTCTCTTTCTCTCTCTCCCTCTCCCTTTTTCTCTCTCTCTCTCTCTCTCTCTCTGTCTCTCCATCCTTTGCCTCGGGCGAAAGGCGGGCGGCGGCGCGCGGGCCGCATGGTGTCCACCTCTGGCGTGCCCGCGGCCCTGCCAGACTTGCTGGTGGCGTCCTGGTGGCGTCCCGGAGGTGGTCCCTGAGCCCCAGCCCGCGCCGGCACTGGCTCCCGACTGGGCGCCGGGGCTGGTGGATGCCTGCGAGGAGGCCGCGGGGGCTGCCCGCGGGGCCGAAGAGGCGGCCGTGAGCGCCGCGGCGGCCCCGCCGCCGCCGCCGCCGCCGCCGCCGCGGCGCGAGGCAGGACCTGTACGTGTATTGGGTCCTGTCGCCGACGGGGATATGTGGGAGGAACTGCTGTCGGGGAGGTCGCCGAGCGACGGTCCCTAAGGCGGCGGTCGGCTGCCAGGGGGCGACGCTGCGCCAGGCGACGGCCGCAAGCTGTACGGCTTCCGCCAGCGGCCGACGCTCGCCGACCTGGAGCGGATGGCCGCCGAGTGCCGCGACCTGGCCCAGGCGCGCGGGCAGACGGTGGCCGACTGGCCCATGCACGTGGAGCTGACCACGGGGACGCAGGTGCTGGCTTGCGAAGCCTTCAGCTGGATGCCGCCCCCTGCGGCCGCGCCCGGTCGCCGCCCGGAGGGCAAGCAGGGCCTGCCTGGTCCCGTCCACGGCGAGAGCGACGTGGTTGCCGAGGACGGCGCGCCGATGCCGCCAGCCGATGGCGACGTGTGGGTGCTCGCGGAGCCGACCCTGGCGCTGGAGGTTGGCTCGGTCGTGAGCCCGGTCGGCTAAACGCTGCTGGGAGCAGGGTGCGATGCGATCTGGCTCCATCGAGGTCGGGCTCACCGCGTCGTGCTGATGGCCGACAGCGCGGTGGCCGAGTGGAAGTCGCATCGTCTTGCAGAGTTGCGGGATCTCCTGGAACTGGTCACGCCCGAGGCCCCGTCGGCCCCGCTGGAGCGGGCGACGACGGCTCAGGGCCTGGCGGCCGAGGACACGCGCGCGCTCTGGGTGAAGTGGGACGACCAGGGCGACTGTTGGATGGAGCTCTGCAAGGCGGTGAACGAGTCGGTCAGCTACGACTGGAGTCGCCAGAGGCTTGAGGGAGGCTTGACGTGCCTCCGCACGTGCAAGATGATGTACCGCACCTCGGGGACGCCCAGGGCCTGGCTCGAGAAGTGCTTGCGTGACATGCACATAGCGTCGACTGACCGAGAGGCGCACGAGCTGTGCCCGCTGGTGGAGGCCCTCGAGGAGGCGGCCTGTTTCGATCAGGGGAACCTCGGGGGCCTCGCCTGCCTGGAGGGTGGATGCCTTCAAGCGCGGCGGGCCCCCTCCTTCGCGAACGCTAAGCACCTGGCGCCGCTTGGCGATGCGGACGAGCTGCTTGCGCCCTCGCTGCACAGCCACGTAACGCGCCGACGCGCCGAGCCAAGGAGGATTGGGACGTCGAGCGGTTGATGAAGAAGGCGGAGGCGGTCGACGCGCGCGCGGTCGCCGCCGCCGCGGGGGCCGACGCAGAAGGAGGCGCAGGCGCAGCAGGGACCGGCGGTGGTGGAGGCAGAGGGCGCGGCCGCGGCAAGGGCGGCGGGAGGGGCTCCAGCCTCCCACCGCCGGTCCAGGCATGACCGAGACAGCTTCGCCAGGGGAATGGGCCCCCCCTGTCTGTCTGTCTGTCTGTCTGTCTGTCTGTCTGTCTGTCTGTCTGTCTGTCTGTCTGTCTGTCTGTCTGTCTGTCTGTCCGTCTGTCTGTCTGTCTTTCTCTTTCTCTTTCTCTTTCTCTTTCTCTTTCTCTTTCTCTTTCTCTCTCTCTCTCTCTCTCTCCATGGCCTGTCTCCGGCTCCCGCCCCCCGCGCCCTGGGAGGATTGAGGGTCTTTTCGTATGACTTTGGCCTCTGGCCTAGACGTTTCGAGGCTTTCGTCAGACTTGTCCCTGCAATGAGAAAACAGTGGCTCCACATTCCATTTCTCTCTCTGTCTCAATATGGTTTGGTTTGTTAGTTTTCAATTTTTTCTGTCAGCGAACGTAAAGAGCAACTGTCTCCGGTACTCTCTCACACTTTTTTTTCTCTCTCTTTCTCTCTCTCTCTCTCTCCCTCGCTCTCGTTTTTTTTTTTTTGTTCTTTATTTCTTTCTTGCTTTCTTTCTCTCTTTGTCACAGCGTGATACGGTTCGTCGTAATTTGGTGATTTGGGGCCTGGTTCGAGTCCGACGGGCAACCGGCAGAAATCACTGTTCTAGGTCAGTAATTGTCTGCGAACAGACGGCGTGCACAGGTGATTCGACCTCATGTGGTGATGTTGGACTTGTTTGGAAGCTACCGGGCAACTGGTAGAAATCACAGTTCGAAGTCGGTCGTTGTGTGCAAACAGATGGCGTGCACAGGTGGCCCGACCTAATTTGGTGATTTTTGGTCTGTTCGGAATCAGACCAGCAACAAACAGAAGTCACAGTTCCAGGTTGGGCGATGTCTGCCACGAGGTGGCTTGCACACTGTGCCTGATTTCGTTCGGTGATGCTACGTTCGTTCGGAGCCAAGCGAGCAGCGCCTGACATCTATGTGCTTGGCGTCATATGCCACGCTGGGCAACGAGCCTCCTCTTCCTCGTAGTTCTTCTCCTCCTTCTCCTTCTCCTTCTCCTTCTCCCGGCCAAAAAACAAACGACACCATCCCACCTACGGCCTTCCTTGTTGCGATACGGCACATCGGGGGCCGTAGCGTACACCATGCAAAAACCCACGCCAGATGTCCTGGTATACGCTACGGCCCGTGGGGCCGTAGGTGGGGTGGTGTCGTTTGTTTTCTTGTCCATCCTCCTCCTCCTCTGACCCTTGCCGAGCTTTCCAATGCTCGGGGCGCCCGCCGCTCGGCGCCGGTTGGGCGCGCCGAGCGGCGGCGTCATCCGCCGTGACAGGCACGGGCCCCCCCTTCCTGGATTGCTCCTCCTCCTCCTCCTCCTCCTCCTGCTTCTCCTCTTTCTCCTCTTCCTCCTCCTCCTCCTCCTCCTCCTCCTCCTCCATCTGCCGTGCTTTCCAATGCTCGGGCGGGGGCCTCCATGGTTGGGCCTTTCCTTTTCCCGGGTTGGGCTACGGGCGGGCTCTTCCCTTTCCGGGGCTGTGACTTTTCCTTCCCGTTTTCGGATTTCCGGTGCTCGGACCAACACTTCCAGGGTTGGGGCACCGACCGCATTGGTGTGGTCTCTCAAGACAGTTGATCCGTTCATGCCTCCTCCAGGTTCATAACCCAAGATCGGTTGCTCTTGAAGTACACCACCCTCCCAGGTTCGTGACTTTCTGATGTTGTGGTGGGTCTTGCTGGATTGTTGCATACTTCAACCATCCATCCTGAAGTACACAACCCCTCCAGGTGAAGAATCAGGGACATTGTGGCAGCTGCTGGACGTTCGCCAGCGTCGGATGCCTGGAGGCGCACATGTCGATAAAGTACGACTCCTGGCGGGCCCCGCGGCTCGCGGAACAGCAGCTGGTGGACTGCGCGCAGGACTTCGACAACCACGGCTGCAACGGCGGCCTGCCCTCCCATGCCTTCGAGTATGTGCGCGCTGCGGGAGGCCTCTCGACCGAATTCCACTACCCGTACACGGCCAAGGACGGCATGTGCGCCTTCAGCGACGCCGCCGCCCACAGCCCCGGGGGCGGCTTCCGGCCCACCTCCGCGGGCGTCGGCGTCGAGGTGCCAGGGGGCTCGGTCAACATCACCGTCGGCGACGAGGACAGTCTGAAGTACTACCTCGCCACCACCGGTCCGGTAACCATCGCGTACCAGGTGGCCAGCGACTTCCGGCACTACAGCCGGGGGGTCTATACCTCGACGGTCTGCAAAAATGGCTCCAAGGACGTCAACCACGCGGTCCTGGCCGTGGGCTACGGCACGGACGCGGGCAGCGGCCTGCGGTACTGGACGATCAAGAACAGTTGGGACTACAGTTTCGGCGAGGAGGGCTTCTTCAAGATCGAGGCCTTCAAGAATATGTGCGGCGTCGGCGACTGCATGGCCTTCCCAGACTTGTACGGCGTGGACGCAGCGGCGGGCACGCCCATCGTGGTGTGATGGGGGGGCTGGTGCGCGTGCTGTTCCCGCGCGGGGTCTGCGCGCGACGCGCGCGCACGCGCCACGTACCGGCGCTCTGTCGATATAGTAGGTACGTTTTTCGTTCGGCATGCGTCGCCCAGCAGCCGCTGACGCTTGCTGCGTGCGGGTTGCAAGGGAAACGATCAGACACGTTGGTTAGCGTGTCGCGCCGCCGGTTCTGGCCTGCCCTGTTTCGGCGCGACACGCTAATCGTCTTCCAGTCCCCCGAGCCTTTCCCAGTCTCCCGTCCCGCGAAGCGGAGCGACACGCTGTCCGCTCGCGCGGCAAATCGTGTCGCCTGGGCCGCCGCCGCGACACGCTGAGCAGCAGTTCTTCACCGTAAGGCCTCTCATGAGCCGCCGAACTCATCCAAGAATCCCTCCTTCAAAAGAGTGCCGCCCCCTCCGAGGAGGAGGAGGAGGAGGAGGAGGAGGAGGAGGAGGAGGAGGAGGAGGAGGAGGAGCAGGAGGAGGAGGAGGAGGAGGAGGAGGAGGAGGAGGAGAGGAGGGGAGGAGGAGGAGGAGGAGCAGGAGGGCGCCAGATGGACGGAGGCCACCCGGAGCGGACAAGCTTCGAGAGAGCATTGCCCCGAGCACCCGTGGCTGCTCCTCGGGCGCCCCCCCCCCCCACGTCGGGGCGACAGCCCGCCAGGCCCCCGCGCCGACACCGCCCCTGCATCGCCCACGCATCGCGGAGGCATCGGCGATGCATCGGCGGTGCGGTGCAGTCCTCCGGCCCCAGCTCCTCGGACCGCACCAGGGAGGCCTCTGAAAGTGCCGCCCTTCCTCCTCCTCCTCCTCCTCCTCCTAATTGTCTGTTCGCGTCTCGACAGATCCCCAGGCCCCGCCCGAGAGGCCCCCCCATGGCGCAGCTCCTCTCGAGCGGCCCACCGGCCGTGGCCGCACGCGGAACGCCCCCCCTGCGCGCTCCTCGATCCTCCTCGATGCTCCTCGATCCTCCTCCATGCTCCCCCTCGATCCTCGATGCTCCTCGATGCTCCTCGACGCTCCTCGACGCTCCTCGACGCTCCTGGATCCTCCTCCGCCCTCGGTCCCCCAGGATCTTCTCCACCCTCCTCGAGCCTCCTCGATCCTCCATCCTCCTCGAGCCTCCTCGATCCTCGATCCTCCTCGCTCCTCCTCGATCCTTCCTCCTGCTCGACGTCGAGGAGGGCCGAGGGGGGCCTATCGGTCCTCGGCGCCCCTCGGTGCTCGCCCTCGAGCCCCCCGCGCCCCCAATCGCCGCAGGTCGGCGAGCGCCTGCACGCCCCGGCGCGCCCCGCCCTCCAGGCGCCCGACGCCTCCGCTCTGCGGCCCGCGCCGACGACGCCGACGCCGCCGACGACGCCGGCGCCGACGCCGACGCCGACGTCGCGGCGCGGCAACGACGGCGACGCCGAGGGACGACGACGACGCCGTCGCCGAGGACGCCGATGACGTCGACGCCGACGCCGACGCCCGCGCTGACGCCGACGTCGCCGAGCTGCGACGACGACGACGATGCCGACGACGACAGCGCCGACGCCGACGCCGACGCCGCCGACGCCGATGCCGACGCCGACGCCGACGATGCCGACGCCGATGCCGACGCCGACGACGCCGAACGAAGACGACGCCGACGCCTACGACGACGACGCCGCCGTCGACGCCGACGAACACCCACGACGACGACGACGCCGAACGACGACGACAACGCCGACGTCGTCGATGACGCCGACGACGCCGACGAAGACTACACCGACGCTGACGCCGACGCCGACGACGCCGACGCTGACGCCAATGACGACGTCGCCGAACGGCGACGCCGACGACGCCGACGACGCCGACGAAGACGCCGACGCCGAGGCCGACGATGCCAACCCTGACGCCGATGACGACATCGCCGAACGGCGACGCCGACGACGCCGCCGACGCCGATGCCGACGACGCCGACGCCGCCAACTATGACTCCGACGCCGACGCCAACGCCGCCGACGCCGACGGCGCCGAACGGCAACGACGTCGACGCCGACGACGACGACGCCGACGCCGACGAGGACGCCGTCGACGACGACGCCGCCGCCGACGACGCCGTCGCCGAGTAGCGACGACGATGCCGACGACGACGTCGACGCCGACGACGACGACGCCACCGACGACGACGACGCCCACGATGACGACGACGGCAACAATGCCGCCGCCGATGACGACGTCGACGCCGACGACGCCGATGCCGACGCCGACGCCGATGACCACGACGTCGATGCCGTCTTCGATGCCGCCAATAACGCTGACGCCGACGTCGTCGACGACGTCGACGACGCCGATGCCGACTACGACGCCGAACTGCGACGACAACGACGCCGACGCTGACGCCGACGACAACGACCCCGACGCCAACGCCGACGCCGACGATGACGCCGACGCTGACGTCGACGACGACGACGAAGACGACGCCGACGACTGCGTCGACGCCGACGACGACGATGCCGCCGACGCCGACGACGACGAGGCGGACGCCAACGTCGACGTCGCCGAGCGGCGACGACGATGCCGACGCCGACGCCGACGCCGACGACGCCGTCGCCGAGTGGCGACGACGATGCCGACGCCGACGCCGACGCTGACGCCGACGCCGCCATCGACGACGACGCGGCCGCCGACGACTACGGCGACGCCGACGATTTTGTCGTCGACGACGACGACGACAACTGATGCCGATGCCGACGCCGACGACGGCGACGTCGACGCCGACGCCGACGACGACGACGCCGACGCCGACGACGACGCTGTCGACGACGACGACGACGACAACTGACGCCGACGACGACGACGCCGACGACGACGCCGACGGCGACGACGCTGCCGTCGCCGTCGCCGCCGACGCCGACGCCGCCGACGACGACGCCTTCGAAGACGACGCTGACGCCGACGCCGACGACGACGACAATGTCGACGACGACGCCGACGACGACTGACGCCGACTTCGACGCTGACGATGACGACGCCCACGCCGACGACGACGACGACGGCGACGACGCTGATGACGCCGACGCCGACGCCGACCAAGATTACGACGTTGCCGACGACGCCGACGCCGACGCCAACGACGGCTCCGATGACGCCGACGTCGACGCGGACGCTGACGCCGTCGCCGCCGACGCCGACGCCGATGCTGCCGACGCCGACGCCGCCGACGCCGATGCCGACGACTGCGCCGACGACGACGACGACGACCCCCACGACGCCGACGCTGCCGATGCCGACGCCGACGCCGACGACGCTAACAACGTCGACGATGCCGCTAACGACGACGCCGTCGACGATGATGCCGACGCCGGTGACCACGACGACGCCTACGAGGACGACGCCGACGACGACGATGCCGACGACGACGACGACGGCGTTGACGACGTCCACGTCGATGTCGCCGGCTTTCTCTCGGAGGTCTCTCGGGCGCTTCTGTGGGCTCTCGCCGCCATGGGGCTTGGCCAGGATGGGCCTGGGAAGGGACTCAGGGGTCTGACTTTGATCGGATTGCGATCGGATGGCGACGGCGACGGCCACGGCGACGGTGGCAGCGACGACGCCGGAGGCAACGGCTGCAATGGCGACGGAGTCGTTTCGGAAGTTGTAGGAGGCTCTTGGAGGCTTTTTGGCGTTCCTCGTTTGGGAGACTCTCGGAGGCTTTTGAGGCTTTTGGGTTCTTTTGCTTGCTTGTCGATGTCTTTGTTTTGGAGGCTTTTGGGCGTCTCGCGAGGGTCTCGTCGCCGCGGCGGGGCGCGGCTCGAAAGTTTTGCTTCCCCTGGCGGGCTGGCAGCAACACATCAGGGTGACAAGCAAGTCCAGCCTCAAATTCCCTGTTCTTTCCCGTCCCCATCGAGGGGCAACATTGAGGGAAGGACGAGGCGGGATGAGGATCAGGAGGGGGCTGGCACCGAGACGAAGGATGATGATGATGACGATGGGGGCGAACATGATGATGATGGTGATGATGACGATGATGATGATGATGATGATGATGATGATGATGATGATGATGGAGATGATGATGGTCATGCTGATGGTGATAATGATACTGCTGCTGCTGATCTTTATGATGCTGACGGTGATAACCATGGCGACGATGATGGCGATGAAGTTGACGATGGTGATGCTGCTGCTGATGATGATACCGTCGATGGTGGTGATGATGATGGTGGTTATGATGCTGGTGCTGATGATGATGATGATGATGATGATGATGGTGGTGATGGTGATCATGATGATGGTGATGATGCTGATGTTGATGATGGTGATGATGACTGAGATGCTGATGATGCTAATGAGGCTGATGATGCTGATAATGATGGTTGTGGTGGTGATGATGACGATGCTGTCCACCATGGCGATGATGAGTATGATGAGGATGATGGTGGTGATGTTGATGGTGACGATGCTGCTGCCGATGTTGATGATGATGTTGATGATGACGGGGATGCTGATGATGCCGATAATGCTGACGATGATGATGATGATGTTGATGATGCTGGTCTACTAATGATTATCATGATCATGATGATGATACTGATCGTGCTGATGATGCTGCTGATGATGATATTGATTATGATTATGATGCTGTTGATGCTGTTTATGTTTTCGATGATGATGATTATGATGATGATGATGATTGTGGTGGCGGTTGTTGTTGTGATGATGGCGATCAGGATGATGATGACGATGATAATGATGATGACGATGATGACGACGACGATGATGACGATGATGATGCTGTTGATGATGATGCTGATGCTGCGGATGATACTGATGGTTTTTGGTGGGTCTGGTGGGGTTGATGATGACTGATTGTTCTGATGATGCTGGTGACGAGGATGATGATGATGATGATGATGATGATGATGATGATGATGATGACGACGACGATGGCGATGCTACTGGTGACGATGATGCTGCTGATGACGCTGATGTTGCTGTCGATGATGATGGTGATGCCGCTGATGCTGATGCTGATGATGAGGATGATGCTGATAATGATGATGATGATGATGATGATGATGATGATGATGATGATGCTGATGATGATGATGATGATGATGATACTGATGATGATGATGATGATGATGATGATGATGATTATTCTGATGGTGGTGATGCTGCTGATGTTGATGATGATGGTGATGATGCCTGAGATGTTGCTGATGCTGACGACGTTGATGATGATGCAGATGATGAAGATGATGCTGATGATGATGATGATGATGATGATGATGATGATGGTGATGACGATTGTGGTGGCGGTGGTGCTGATGATGCTGTCGATGATGTTGATGACACTGATGGTGGTGGTTATGGTGATTTAGACGATGATGCTGGTGCTGATGTTGCTGATAATTGTGCTGCTGATG